CCCCCCCCCCCGCCGCGCCCCCACTGCCCAGATTCCCCCAACTGAGTCCCAGCCCTTGCCCGGGGTGCCCTCACCTCGACAAAGGCAATGCCCAGGGCTGCCGCGGCCACCACCAGCACGTTCTTCCTCAGCCAGTCCCCGATCTTATCCACACAGCCCTGCAAGGCAAGCACGTCAGGAGCACCCACCTGCCTCCCGGGTTCCCAGTCCCACCTTTCACCCCCTCCCTCCCCATCCCGTAGCCTGTGCACCTCTGCCCTGGGTCTCCGGTCTCCCGCCTCCCGAATCATTTCCCTGGTTTCCCAAGTCTTGTCCTACCTCCTTATGGATCTCCTTCTCTCTGAAATTCACCCCACAGCCCGCAGTAACATTGATGCAGCAGGAGTCAGGGACTCGGTTCTTGCCCATGGAAGGGATGCTCTCCCAGTCTGTGTAGTTAGCAGCCCCACAGCAGTTGAACTGGCAGAGGAAGAGACACAGCAGGAGGGTGCTGGCTGAACCTCCACCTTCCCGAAGGAGATGAGCAGTCCCTCGCCCCACCTGCCCCGCTCCCCACAACTCCACTCACTTCCTGCTGCAGCCCATCCAGGATCGCAGCAGCTGTTTTGTTGTTTCCCGCGTATTTCTGCATCTGCTGCCGGAAGTCCTTATTGAACTCTGACTTCACCTGAGTAGGGAGGAGCGCTGCTGAGGTCAGGATTCAGGCGCCTGGGTCCCGCGCCAGGCTGAGGCAGGGTCCTCCCCTAGTGCCTGCTTACCGTATCTCTAAACACGTAGCCAGCAATGGCTGCAGCCACCTCCACCAGCAGGATGAGAGACAGAAAGACGGCAAACTGCAGGAGCACAGGACCGGAGTCGTTTGGAATCCACCGACGGCAGGGGCCTGCTCTGGCCCAGCCAAGCCCCGAATCACTCAAGCAGGGATCCCTCACCTGCCCTCGCCAGCCCCAACCACAGAAATGCCCCCGGCAGTCCTGGACACCCACGCTGGTCCCACACCCCACTCACCGTGATCATAAGACAGTAGTTCTCCTTACAGGCCCCACAACAGCCCACGAAGGCCACCAGGAAGAGAAAGGCACCCACTGCGATGATGACCACAGGCAACAGGAAGCCCGGAGTTGCCTCATGGCTTATGGTCTGCTTCAGGATAAGGTGGGCCCCTACACCCACGACGATCAGTCCCACCGCACAGGCCTGAGAGGAGGGCGTGCGAGGGTTAGGTGGGACCCACAGCCCAGCAGCCCTCCATGGCGGCGGCCAGGGAGCGCACCCAGGACACAGGCTCAGCCATCCAAGAGAGCGGCACACACCTCGCAGGGAACTGAAGGCTGGGGAGGGAGAGGAACCGCGCGACCCCACTAAAGGCCGGCAGGTGTTCAAGGCATTGCGGAAGGAGGGCCGAGGGACACGCCTCCCTTCAAGCGGCTCGCCAACCAGGGGTGACCAGATGCCAAAAGGGAGTTCCCAGAAAGCCTTCACCCCGGGGTACATACTCCTGACCCAGAAAGAGCTTTCCGTGGGCCTCCCGGGATCCCGGCTCAGCCCTCTCCAGAACCGCCCCCTCGCTGTCCTCCGGTGCCCACCCACGCACACCAGCCGTGACTCGGGTTCCCCTGGCCGGCTGGGCAGGGAGGAGGAAACGCGCGAGAGGGGCGTGCGCCGCCCTGGACGGACGGGGCTCTCAAGCCAGGAGCCCAAGACGGGCGCCAAGAGCCCCCCCCCCCAAACAGCCAGCCGGGAGCGGGGAGCGGGGCAGGGAACGCAGAGAGGCGAAGGGTGGAGGGGGCGAGAGGAGGTGGGGCGCGGAAGGCGGGAAGCCCCGTGGCGATAGCATCAGGCCGTTGGCTGGTTGCCCCACTGCCCCTATCACAAGTGGTTGGGTCACCGGACAGGAAGGGCCAGGAGGGCAGGGAGTGGGGGCGGGCGCCGCGCTCGCCTGGAACGAGCCTCGGGGCTCCGCGCACGCCGGTGGGCGGGGTGGCCGCGCCGTCTGTCCCTCCACGCCTGGTCCCCCAGTGCCTCGCCCTGGGCCGCCCAGCGCTCACCACTCGGCCAGGCCTCGCCCCGCACCCCTGCTCTCCGCCCCCGCCAGCGCCCCCTCGCCGCGCTCACGCAGAAGGCCAGCAGGAAAACGTAGAGCAGGAACTTCACACACTTCATTCCGCCTTCCACCGCCATGGCTGCGGGCCTGCGAGGCGCAGGACGGGGGGATGAGGACCGGCCCGGGGACCTCGGTTTCCGGCCCCCGGCCGG